TATTGTGCACACCCTTTTTAAGACAAATACTATCACATGTATCTCTGCCAAAAATCGCTACAGTAGTATATTTTACAACTTGAAATGTAATAGGAATAGGTTGGCTACTTATAACTGCCATTTGTATTAGATATATTAAGCTTTACTTCTAACTGTATCTGCCCAACAGGCTTGATCATGTGATTGCTATAGTACTTCAAAAGTTATAGTAGTGGGCCGTATTTACTTAGCATGGTTTGAGGATGTGGTTTGCGGATGATATATATATATATATATATATACTGACTCTGGAATAATATCAACCCGCGACTATCTAATTTAAAATCTATACATAAACATATCACAACTTTGTGACCAGTCTTGTGCTTCCTTGCTGTCCAGCTTCAGTTTCTAAAGTTCGTACACTTGTTATGTCGTCTGAGTAAATAAAAGTGAATCACATGTAGCGATGGCTTTCACTGACTGTTGTATGTTTGAATACTCGTTCCCGGAGCTTACCACATTTTTACCCTGTGCTGGACACTTATCAACTCCAAGTTCGTATGGACAGTTGCGACACTGAATTTTATCTTAATTTACTTCCAGGCTTAAAATTTGACCTCCAGCGAGACTATTTATGACGTTCTCGTGGCCGTTACATGATAGTTTTCGCTATATTATTTAGATTTCAAGTTTTTCTCAGTGTTTTTTTTAATAAGAGTGTCGTGGTCGTTCATCACTGAAACATTTTTTTTCTGCCATTTAAGTGTTTGTTCTTTCACCACGGACTATAGACAGTGTTGTGCAACGGATATGCTTGTTTGAACGTTATCGTAACATGTCGTATCGATGTTTACACTCATAATATTCAACAACATCAACGAAAAAAGGTGAACAAAAATCTCGAATTTAGTTGTTTCTACATTTATTCCTATTTATGTTTCTATGTTAAGTGACAATTTTAAAAACAAATCACATTACAACACTCCACGATCGGAGTTGGCTGTCGAGCTCTGCAAGGGAGTTGCATCGCTCCTGAGAAGGGAGTATGGGAGGACGAAGAAGGGGAGACTGAGTTCGAGGACTCTGGGGAGGGAGACCCGGAGTCATACCACAATCTATGTCCAGGCAGACGTTGAAACCTTCAAAGAGACTTCATGGCTTTTTCTGACGCTTCCCGCTACTAGTCTTCTTCTGCCCCTTCAAAGGAGACCATGTGGGCTTTGATCCTCGCTGGTTGTTGCCCGAGCATAGGACTTACTACCTGAGCCACCTTGCGGTTTTTATTTGAACTGTTGACCAGAAGGACTAGGTACATTGATTGCTTCAATTGGATATGCTGATCATCAGCAACCACCAATTAACCGTTCAACACATCTGTTAACCAGCCATCACACATTGCGACTCTCTGCCCGATGATCGAGGTTCGTTGCTAAGCACTCAGACGGCCAGAACTTAGCAAGTTGAGCTGACGTTCTAACGCCAAAGAAACCCATTCTATAAAATAGATGGGTCTAAGTTCTGTCCGTAAAGCCTGATGCACTTGCAGGCACTGGTGCCGGTCAAATGTCCATGCAACATGGCCATCCCGATCTGCACTACCTGCCTTGACGAAGGTATGGGTACTGGGATTGGGACAGGGAACCCGTGGAGCAGGCTATGGGAGAGGAAAGCGCTGATGAGAATGGGTCAAAAGGCAACTCTCCCATCCGGGGGCTGAGATTACCACTGGCCCCTTACAAAACAAAAGTTTTGCGGCCATCATTGCCCGGTTCACAAGCTGCGACCTTAACTGCATACTAGTAAGGGGCAGCTAGGCTCCGGTTGGTTAGATATCCTGTGACTGTTCCAACAAAGTGGGGCGAGAGATGACAAAGCTCTCCCCTCCCCTGCTGGGGGAGTGGTAGCTGCACCCCATAAGAGGGT